AGCAAGGGAAGGAGTCGGTAGGAGTCAAGCACCCATTTCTCATCCCCTCCCCACCCAGCCCAGTGCAAAGAGAAACTCCACCTGCAGATAGAGCCTCTGTGTTTTTATTAGGGCTCAATAAGCCTCTTGTCCCTTGGTCTCCAGCAGAATATGACCTACACAAAGAAACAGCAAAGCCTTCAAATAACAGAATAAAAATTGTTTGGAACTAACCATCCACAGGAGTCATAGTCTGAACTAAATGTGTCATACATTGTTATCAGCTACCAGTCAGAATTACAGAGTATTTTGAATATGACTCTACTCTAGGTAATGTTAGTGAAATGTTAACCAACCTACGACTTGTGATGACTTAAGGCAGTTATGGCTCTAGTCTTACCTTCTTGTGAGCAAATATTTAGAGATCAAAGTCAAACTACTCCAAAGATTTTTTTTCCTGTGACAAGTCAAATCAAAATTCATTTTTAAGGAGAAACACTTCTTTTTTTCTTCAGGGGCACATTTTCTAACCCGAACATTCAATACCATATTTTGTAGCTTATGTCTTCAAATTAAAGGTTACTTAGAGTTTTCTTTAAGACATGAGTTAGTTGTTTTACCTTTATGTATCCAAGTGTTTCCCTAAATAAAGAAGTTATCTCCAAAAACAAATTAATCTACCCTGCTGCCAACCTTCCTTATTTTCACAATTATTTATTCAGTGATGATTATGTGCTAAATCTCCCATGGATGTTGTATCTCAATTTTAAAAATACATGGAGAATATAATTTCAAAGGGCAATACATATATTTTAAGAAAACTATAGAGAACTTATATTAGTGCAGGGCCCCTTTGCATAGGTGCAGGGCAGGCAGAGAACCCATCTCTGAGGAATTGAGAGTCCGGCTGAAATATGAACAGTGAGCAGGTATTTAGTTGGGTGAGGGAGGAAATAGCATTCTAGAAAGAGGGAGTACTACGTCCCAAGGTTTTGACATGCGGGGTAAAGAGGCAGGGGGAGATCTGAAATAAGACTCATTTTTCTGACCCTCAGCAGGAGGGAGAGAACAGAACATAATCCTACGCTCTATGGGAGTTGTAAGGAGGCTGGGCCTTGGCAGCCACTTGCAGAATTTGATCTTCATCCTGACAATTGAAATCACTTGCCTCTGTATAGCTTACCTATCAGGCCTGAGATCACGTACATCAACATGATTTAACTGTTTGCTTCAGGAGATTCTCGTTCACAAAGTTAACACTGTAAATCAGTGAATAACTTTACTGTTTGCATTAGCAAGTTCCTGCCAACCAATTTATCCAGACAAACACTTGGCTCATCTCTCCTATCAAGATAAAAGAGTGCTCACCTGCAGAAACAGCTCGCTTATCACACAATTTACTAATCAGGGCCTGTGTCACGGTGCCCACCGATCCTCAACTATTACATGATGAACTGTGTCCCGGTCAGTTTGCCTCAAAAGACCTATCGTAAGCCCCCTGAGCACAGACCTGAGCCTGCAAGTGCCCTGCTCCAAGTTCGCCTTGTGAGACAGCATGAAGATTCTTTCAGGGCAATGCTCTCCCGAGCTCAGCAGGGCTCATTAGCATTGCTTGACCAGTAGGTTTTCTGATGGTCTTTTGCAAAGCTGGCAGTTGTCAATCCTGAGAGCAAAGAGAAAGTCCTTGAGAGTTTCTGAGGAAGTGAGAGATTGGATCAGTTCTGTGTTTTAATCTAATTGCAGTTTGGTGAGCGGAGTAGACAAAACCCAGAATCCTTCACATCACTGCATGGTGGCAGTAAGGAGGCTATTGCTATAGACCAGAGGAGAGGTGATAGCAGCTTAGAACTGGGACATGACGATGAAGATGGGCTGAGTGGTTGGACTGGAGATGTGTTTTGGAAGTAAATCCAACAAGGCCTACTAACAGATTAGACAGTGGGGGAGAGAAGGTAATAGAAGTGTCAAGCATAAGTTTTGGACTGTGCATTGTTAAACTAGATAGCAAATGACATCATTGACTGAGATGGAAGCATGGTTAAAGAAATGGGTTTGAAATCATATGTGGGGTTTGCAGTAGGAAAGCATGAGTTTGTTTTGGACAGGCTGTGTTTAAGGTGTCTTTGAGATACCCAAGTGGAAATGTCAGGTAAGCATTTGCAAATAGGTTGTGCAACTGTGAAAGGTCTGAGAAAGCAAGCAATGGTTAACTAGTCAGAAAATATTCTGACTTCCACTGTGGTCCCTGTTAAAATTTCTTAGTATTTCTGAATATTTCAACCCAAAGGCTCTTTATCCTGCTGCCCTCCAACTTCAATGACAAAAAGCCAACAAGAACATCTCTATATTCTGGTTTGGAAAAGGGGGTGTTGCAGTATGATATTGTTATTGTCCTCTGTGGCCAAGCTAGTTCTCAATTCTTTTCTTTGCTAAGTACCTGTGGGATGCCAGACATATTCAGATTGCTAGGATTAGTCCAAGTTGGCTCTTTCATCTCCATATAGTTATAGAAAAGAAGTTTAGCACTTAGGCTTCAGGGCAATGCAGATTTAGATTTCACTTTCAGATCCACCCCTCAGCAGTCTGACAACCTTGGAGAATCTTCTTACTAAACTATCTGAGCCTCAGGTTCCTCATTTGTAAAATGAGTATAATAACAACACCCACCTGATGAAGTTCTCGGAATAAAACCATGTAAATGTGTCAGCTGGCCTAGAACTTGGCATGAAGTATGGACTCAGTAAATGTTAGCTACTGTTACATTCATCCTCAGTTTTCTGCATCAGAGGATCCTCAAACTCACGGAAAGTGGCCATGAGAATTGTTACAGCCTCAGAATGACTGGGTTAAATAAACAGAAAATCTGTAGTCTTTTTCCACTTTTGGTCACTGTACTCACACTCTCCTTTTTTCTCCCATGGCATGGTCTTTTTATTTTAAGGGTATGGGTACCCAAGCTTTATTTGCTCAGTTGCATGCAGTTAAGGAGGAAGTGAAAAACAGGACTGAGAGGTCTCAATCTTCTTCACTTGTGACTAACCTGGGGTTTAGTCTAATTTAACCTGGGGTTTCCTTCGTGATGTTTGATGAGTTTTCTTCGAAGAGCTGGTCAAGAGTTCCCTTCACTGTATTGCTTCTATTAGACTGAATTCCCTAAAGCCAGGAGCTTCCTGAAAAGGGGGCTTTTTTTTATGTATCCAGTTGTATTAAGCAAGTTTCATCCAATTTTCCTTGAGTTAAACTGTACAGAACAAATCAAACCAGTTCTAAATGGTTGGAATGAATTTCCACAAGATCAAGGGCACTCAAATGGGATATGATCAGAGCAGACAGACATAAAATTGCCTCAAACTGTAATCATGTCAGTTGAAATGATATTAGATGAGTTGAGACCAATTTAAATGAAGAAGAATCAAACGGATCCTGAAGAGGTTAAAGTTAATCTAAATTTTTTGCATTCAAAATTAACTCTGAGCTAATGAGAGCAAGACCTTTCAAGTTGGATCAGTCTATCTCTCGATGGGGCAGTACTGGCCCTGCTCAGCTTGAACTGGACAGACTTGAACTAGGCTCCAAACAGTGAAAATGGAATCAAACTTTATCAGCCTACATTAATTGCTGAGCCATTGTCAGAGGGGAGGAGGGTTGAGGGGCTAGATGAAAGAAGGTGAAGGGATTCACAAAAAAGCATACATACATAACACATAGACACAGATGACAGTGTGGTGATGGCCAGAGGGAAAGGGGGGTGGGGTGGAGGTGGGCAAAGGGGGGGAAATGGGGACATTAAGAGACGTTGCTTGGGGCACTGGGTACACAATATGATGTGCAGATGATGAACTATACATTTATTGAGTTGTATCTTTTAAACCTGTACATTTTTTCAACTAATGTCACCCCAATAAACTCAATAAAAATAATAATAAAATAAAAAACTGTAAGTTGAATCACTCAGCACCTTCTTCAAACTTCCTAAAGTGTCGCCATTTAACTCTAAGTCCCCACCTGCAAAGCCCACCAGATATTTCTTTGTTTCCCTCTTACCCCATGGTTCCCTCTGCCTGAGCCAAGCTTACCTCATGTTGGTCCTTGAAGTATCATGATCGCAGCTCCTCAAGTCTTTAGCTCACCGCACCCTCCACCTGGAACACCCTTCCCCCAGACACCCACATGATTCTCCCCCTTACTTCCTTAGTCTCCATTCAAATGGTACCTTATGGAGAGACCTGCCTAACCCACTTTTCTCCAATAGCTCACCCACTCTCTCCTACTCTCTTTACTCTCTTTAATTTTTCTTCGAGACACTTATTATCACCTGACTCATTACACATTTACTTGTTGATTGGCTGCCCCAACTGGACTGAAAGCTCCGGAAGAGCCAGGACTTTTTCTGCTTTATTCACTGCATGTCCTCAGCTCCGAGATAACTGCCCAGAACACGGGAGCACAAGTATCCATGTGTTTAATGAGTGGGTGAGTTAAAATTAACCTTTTATCGAAAAGTTGTTCTTGTCCACTCAGTCAATACCTACTTGTGTTGTGTATCTTGACATTTTAAGAACAAAATGGAATTTTTAGACTACCTGGTAGCAGCTGTTTTGATTGATCAAGAACTTTTTTCTCTCAAAAAAGGCACAGCTGAAGCTGAGCTGTGGCTATTGAGTTTCCATGGCTTGCCTCGTAGAGGAAGAAAGATGAAACAACAGGCAAGTCCACACTTTGCTGCAACTGCTGTTTCCATTGAATCCAAGGTATTAACTCAAAATCTGCTTTCAACCGACTACTCTAAATGGCTAAAATGCCAACCGAGCCCAAATCACTTCTAAATTGTATTGATACAGTTTAGTAAAGAGGAAATGACAGGAAAAAAACAATACTAAGTATGTGCTAATGTTGCTTTTTATTTCATGAAACCCAAATGAATTCAAACATTACTTTCAGGAACATTTTATAAAGATATTAAAATAAAAGGCAATAAGAAATGCAAAACAAGTACACAAATACCTATCACCAGAAATTGAAGTAATTCTTTGACCAGTGGAGATATTAAAGAAACCACATACCCCAAAATGAAACTACAGAATAAAAGCAAAGAGTACATTATCTGATTTTTACTCTCCAAAATTTGAACAGCACAAGCCAGTGATGGATTATGAGAAGGATATCGAATGTACTAAGTCTAATATTTGAACACTTCAACCATTTGCCTTCTTAGTCAGAGTTCTAATTATATTCATAATTTCACGTAGTTGAACTCTGCAACCGCACCTCTAAATTGTGTTTGTCGTTTAGTCAAATAAGCTTCTTCCAGAATTCTAGGAGCAGGACAAGAGATAGAACTACTGTCACCTACCCCCAGGGGAAATGGAGGAGGTGTTTGAAAGGCCTTCCCAGATTCTCTGCTCAATGTGAATCACTTATTAGTCTACACCAATATTTCAAAGCTTAAGAAAGGGAATGTTGTATCATCGTGGACTTCATTCTGATTATTTTCAACAAGCAAAGTGCGAGCTAAGAAACGGCCCCCTCAAGCTCAAAGAGGTACATAAGTTAGAGACATATATGTCTAATATCTACGCTGAGCAGATGACACAGTGATCTTTGGACGTGAATTAAGATTATTGCTTTGATTTAAAGGACCATGCCACAAAGTGTTTGTCTTTTATCCTTATCTCTTAAGTAATCTAGAATAGATCATGGTTAATTTCAACTTTTGAGAATAAGCATTTACCCTGAATAAATCTTTATAAAGTAAGCATTGTGTGTAGCTTCTCTTTTGAACAGCAGCTTGGATATACTTCTGATGCATCTAAACATTTTTGCTCCCGATGCCACAGCTACATATATTTTCAAAGACTAGCTCAGGGACCACTGAAATATTAGATATGCCTTTGTTGGCAAAACATCAAAGTGACTATGCAGTCATTATAAAGTTTCACTAAACTACTAGTTCTCAGATCTTACCTTGCCTCAGGAGAACCTGGAGGGTTCCTTAAAACACAGGAAGAAGACTGGGTCCTACTGCCAGAGTTTCTGATTCAGGAGGTATGGGGCGGGGCTAAGGATCTGCATATTTAACAAGTTTCTCAGGTGAAGTGATGCTCACGCTGCTAGTCCAGGGACCTCACTTTAAGAAACTCTGCTTTAAACAATTAATTTATACATCATTTAGAGAGCAATGAAAGCTTAGATTCCAGGCACCACCTGGTACTTCTTAATCTCTTCAATTCTTTGTCCCAGGGACAATCTTTGAGAAATGCATCTTTCACTTCCTCTTTTATAGCAATTGTAATGCCCAAGCAGCTAGAGTCCTTAACACTATTCACTTAGCATTTTGGTTTTGCTGGGCCTGGATGGGGTATGTTTCCTATTTCTCACCAGAAGGGCTGGAATCCCCTAAGTGCCCCAGACTGGATCTGTTACCCTCTCTGGGACAGAACCCATGCCTCTGGGGGACCGAAAGCCATAGCTACATGTCTCTACCCAGCAGGTCTATCTCATCCAGGAGAAAGTCCATGTCTTCCTGGCTCACTTGAGGGCTGATCACAACCTGGCGGAAGAAGTTGACCTTCCCCCGGTGGGGCTGATAGCCCAGCATCAGGCTTCCCTTCTTCATCATTCTCTCCTTAATGGCTGGGGCCACCTGCATGGGTGGAGAGGATGGGCAGAGGTGAAAGACCGGAACACCAAGGCATCACAACTCATTTTACTCAGTCATCTGACGTTTACTGGGCCTCCGCTGGTGTGGGTCCCACTCTCATGTACACAACTAGATTGACATCAATAAAAATCTACTGAGACCTTATGACATAGGAGGACTGATGAAAGCTCTTTGAATATATGAATTCATTTACTCTTCACAATAACCCCATGGGGAGATACTACTACTTATATTTGCACTTATAGATGAGGAAGTGGAGGTGAGTAGATCACATGAATAGCCGAGGTCCCGTGCTCAGTAAATGAGAGAGTCAAGATTTAAAACCAGGCAGTCTCACCTAAGCCCCTACTCTGAAATCTAAACCATTCTGCAATGCTGCCTCATTAAAAACAAACCAGGTGTCCTCAGGGCTCACAGTCTCAAAGGTGTCAAATGCTGTCTGAACTAAAAAAAAAAAAAACACTCCAGTTCAGGCATCCTGAGAAAAAAAGAGTCATACATGGGGATAAAACCCACAAAATAACAGCCCTGCATTGATAGACTACCAAGATAAACACTAATAAATGTATTACGTGCAGGTCTATTTTGAAGACTGTTTATTAGTTTATTAATAGGACATATGTGAATATAAACACTCAAGTTACTAATAAGATTAGGAAGCCCGTACTTTAAACATTTCCAGCTAACATGAGAAGAATGGGCCTTGATAATCCATACACGCAAATTTCTCTAAAAGTTTCATATTTGAAGAAATTAGTCCACTTTAAGAACCACGGGAAAAATGAGTCCATTTTCAAATCAGCAGTATGACCACCCAAGAATGAGCTTATAACATGTAACATAGTGAAGTTCATTTCTGAAATGCCAACTTAAAAAAATTAAGAGTGAGCTCTTACTGGCTTGGAAATGCAAGCAAGGTTTTTCCATTTTCATTTTATTTTAATTCTAAAAGATTCTGAGCATATCCTCCTGAGTATGTGGAAGGGGAACATCATGAGTATCTGTTTTCATTTGCTCAGAAAGGTGAGACCCAGAAGGGAGAAAAGATATATAAATAATACTAGGCACCAAGTGTTTTATAATTGCTTAGGTGATAGGTATAAATGTCACTTCCCCCGAGCCCCTCTCCAAGTGTGACTATCCATACCTCTCTAGTCTTAAAACATACCTACATTTTGTCAGAAGAAATGCCAAACTATTTAATTTGACACTTGACATCATCTTGATCTATTTCAAAGCTGATGGAAAAATAGGTTTCTAGACCTCTGGAGACATGATGGGTTGGACTTAGCCACACAGCTTTCTCGATGGATGTTCAAGGATAATTTTAACTAAGCACATTATCCCTCATGTGCTAACCTTAGAACATAAATCTTGCAAAACATGGACTGCACTATGCCTACAACAGCAAAACAAACACCTATTAAGCACAATCACATTGGCATCCTAGCAAAATATTGGAGCTCTTTTAGTCTAACAGAACATGAAGAGAAACTGTTTTATGAGTGTAAAATAAAATAATTGTAGAGAACGATGAGGTCAGAGGTCAAGTTAGGGGAAAAAATGTGAACCATCATGTTCTATAACTACCTGGAAATGTGTCACAAGTTTTATTCCAAGCTTTTTAGATTAGAAAACCAGGATTAAATAAACAACATTGCCAGTCTTTTTGCAGAATTTAGTGACAAGTGTCCAGCAGATGCTGAAAAGTGGGGAGCTTGGTAGGTAACTCCGTATCTGTTGCAAACACTTGATTTTGAATGCTCCAAGCATCCGTTGAGTTTTCTTCCAAAGCGCTTTATGCAAGTATCACTCGTTATTAGGATTATAAAATCTAGTGAAATTAGATGTAAGCAAATGAAAGGTTATTGCAAAAAGAGAGTGCCTTTCATGAAAACTAAGTGGAATCCCTTGGAAAGGCTAGATAAAGGGGGGCTGCTAAACACCGCTGTAAGTCAGGTGTGGCAGGAGAACTGTAAATGCTTTATAAAAAAAATATTCAGAGTCCAGATGCCTTCTGTGCACAGATGACTCCACGGGTGTCGGTGCCCTCGTGCCACTTAGAGAAACCTGAGTTGGACATGACAGGTGATTTCTGAAGTGTATTTTCTGCAAGAACAGTGGAGAACCACTAATCATCAGATCTCTACTCAAGAAAAGCCTTGCTTGCTTTTCAAAAGCATGTGGAAATCTTCACTTCGTAGGGGAGGGTGGAGAAAAGCCTTTCCATTAGAAGGTGGAGGAATAAAGGCATGTGGAGGTGCTTTAAGTTAAAATGTCTAAGTGATGTACGTACCACATGCTTTTCTAGGACTATTTGCTTGAACTGACCAATCCTCACCTCCTTAGGTAGGAGGGTTTCTGGTGTGGGTGTGAATGGGTGTGTGTGCATGCACATATGTATGTGTACGTGCATGTATGTTCATGCACATGTGATTTAAACTTCTAACCCAACATTTGTTATTCACGGCTCTCAAAATCCTCGTTTTTGGTCAGAGAGCTGTGCAGCACTGTGGAGTGACTTAGGCTGCTAACTAAAGCACATTTCTTTCGGATTTAAAGAACAAGAGGCCTCTTGACATAAACTGAAGATACGGGAGAAAAACACAGTACTGCTCATGCTGCTCAGTATTAGGAAGATGTGCTTCACCAGGGACCAGTATCTGGCCAGGGAAATTCCAGACTATCCATTTTAGAGTTTACATATTTTGGTTCTGCAGATTGCTTTTTGGGAATAAAAATTCCCTTCTTTTTCTTCTCTCTCCTCTTCTAGTTACTCAGGGTAAAACTGGCTGTGGCCTACAGCCGATTTGAAATTTAAAACAGGCATGTTCTTGGCTCAGGTCTAATTTGCATTGTCTATTTCTGTTTGCTTTTCAATACCTCTATTCTTCCCCCAAATGATATTTTCATGCCTTATCTTTGGAAAGCATTAGAATTTTGATTCCAGCTCATCAACATGTCAGAGGCTTCCATGAGGCAATCTTCAAAATAAATCTGTTCAATTGCATTTCTTGTAAGCAAACCAGAAATATCTTCTGATGTGAGCAAGAAAGGTCAAAGTAAGATGGCCCCTCAATATTTCAGTACAAAGATATTTCTGATCTTCAAATTACTGTTGAGAGCATGGCATGAGAGTGTTCTTCCATGGGCAAAACAATGGCATAAGAACAAAACTTCTTGACCAAATTTTGTCACTGATGTTCAAAAATGATAAATAAATGACAATATCTACGTGACTTGGAGAACCGATTAAGTGAGGGTTTGACAACACCTCACATATTTTATGAATATAAAATTAATTTCTAGAGGTGACTACTCCTGGGCAAGAGGGGAAGGCCTTATTTGTCTATGAATACTTCATTGGGTAAAGAAAGCCATGAGCAACACCAAGGTTGATAATCACTAAAGCTCTGCCACAAATTAGACTGTGGTAGTAGTGCTGCTTGTTGTTAACAAATATTTTACCAGCCCCTTACAATTTGCAATCTGCCTTCACATGTCTGATCCCCATGAACTCAAATTAAAGCTTATTTGAACGGAACTCATGTTTCTGCAATCTAGGGATCCAGACCATTCTCATTAACTGCCAGTTCATCACCTTTGCACTTAAAAATACATCACCGTGGAGTGATAAAGCTCCAGGCACAACCCATTGCTGGGTAACCTGGATATTCTCTTTCACTGATCACAGCAGAGAAACAGCCCTAATCCCACAGGATGGAATCCTCATAGGGGAAAGAAAATATGCACAAACCAAATGTAAATATCCAAAGAGCATCCCTAAATGGAGCATGCATGGAGGAAAGCAATTTGGCAGGAGTGAGATTGCTTTCCGGCCCTCAATTATTTTACTGCTGGTTTTCCTTCAAATTGTAAATCAAGTTCTTTTCTCATGCCTCAGTGCACTGGTCCCTGCATCTTAAGTGGAGGGAGGTCTGGACATTTCTTTCTGGTTGCACAGGAACTTAATTGACATGTGTTCTGTAGGACTGCTGTTTCTGCCCCTTTAAATAATGTCCCAGCAATGATTTAGCCATTTAAACAGAATTTTGTTGTCACATCCCTGCAGGATGAAATAGCATTTGATATTTAAAAGTTGCTTAAACCCTAGGAAAAAAGATAAATGAAACAACTCTCTCATTCTGGCCAAGTATAGTAATTTGATAACAAATAACTGACCAGGTACCATAATCGCCTCTTTATGGAAATAAAATTGCAATGTCCATAAAATGACATCTCCTTCGAAAAAATGTGTTACATTCCTAATGTTAACAGCAATGCATTTTTTCAATATATAAAGTGTTTCTCAAACTGGGAGGAAGTTTCTTTTTTCTACTAAATTCCAGGTATACTTTTGAAATAAAATAAAAGTTACTCAATGAAAACAAATTACTAAATAAAAATAAAATGAAAAATACAAGCTCAAGTTTGTTCTTTTGTTTTAAAATTCAACAGTAAATTTACTGTGTTGTTAGAAATGTTTCTAATGGTAACTCTCGATTTCCATGCTTTTCTTACTGCACACTGGCATTGCCAAGTTCATGGGTCCACTTGGGGCTGGCGACCACACTTGAGCAGTGATGCTCTCTTGGAACTCTCTCAGCTCCTTGTTGTTGTACATCATTTCAGTCATGAATCGTCTTGTCACATCACACACTTATTTCTGCTTATTGGCATGTTCCTCATTCCATTTTGAGTGATGTTTTGTATCCCACCATGCCACCAAGCTGTAGTTTACCTAGACATTTTCTAGTTGTTAAATCTTGGAACTGCTTCGGTTATGATGGCATTTCAGTGAAACCATGGACCAGATCATGAAGCCTCCATGTCAGTTCTTCAAAGTCTAGTCCAGAGATTATGAGACTAAATGGTTCAAAATATCTGAGACTTTAGGATCTTCATACGACTCTTTCCACCCTTTGCTATGAAGGTGATATAGTCACATTTACCACCTGTAAATATGAGGTAGCACAGCATCC